AGAACCGGCGCAGCGTCTGTAGATACGCTGCATTCGATTTACCAACCGCGTGCTTGCATGCTAAGTCTCTTTATTTCAGGTGGTGGGTTTTCAATTTTGCCTTAATGCTTTTCTTTCTCATATAAATGTCTACCTGTACTCTATTCCATTAACTTGCACACCTCGCTTAAGCCAATTGTATTCGATTTCCATAACATTTTTGTGTTCGTGGCATTTCCGTAAAGTTTACTTTCTGACCTCGTGCAGTTATCTAGGATGCGTTTGTAAACAACTTAATTCAAATGCTCATTAACTTAAGGTGTATGTCACCGTTTTCCTTCTGCATTAATCGAGTTATTTTCTTTGTATCTCTCTCTCTCTCTCAAGTGGTTGGCTGTTGTTTGATATCTCCGGTGTGGCTACGCTTGATGTGCATGTTGACAAGGTACCTACCTGTCTATTACCCACTACCTCGTCCATACTGGCTCCAGAAGACAGTTGGTCGTTGCTGGAGGGGACAGGGTGCACAGTCCTTGTGGCCGTGTTAGGATCAAAGAGTGGTTCCATGCACTCAGTGTGGAGCGGACTACGGTCCAACCACCGTCTTGTGTGCGCTTGATTCCCAAATACAGTGTGCTTGTGTTTGCCTGTGAAGGAGTGTGGGCCGGCTCCGTTGATGAAACGTGGCTCCCATCCACATGCCTCCGGGTCTTATTCCTTCGGGTTTACACTGGATATGGTTGGAGCTGTGGGTGGTGCAACGCAAGCCACCCATGGTCCCTCTGTAGGCGTCCTGTGGCTGGCCACAGTGACAGGCAAATCCGAAACCGGATGCCAACAACCATATGTTTAGGTGTTTGTTGATTGATCTGCTTGGCCTGGCTACACTTGTGAATATTGTTAAGGCGCCTATCTGCCTTCTCTCCAACTACACTGTCTCTAGGTGACCAATGTTGCTAGGTGAGACAGGGTGCACCGCCTTCGTGATCGTGCTCGGCTCAAAGAAAGGTTCCATCCGGTGTGGAACAAGCTACGGTGTAGTCACCGCTGTGTACGTCTGGTATGCATGTTTCCCCCTATTCTAATGTTTGAATTATGTGCATGTGTAAGTATTGGGAGCCGGTTCTGAGTCAATCGTGACTGCAATCTACATGCTTCCCAGCGTTATTCTTTCGGTTTTACACTGAATATGGGGTATGTGGATGGAGTTGTGAGTGATGCAGCACAAGATACCTGTGATCCCTCTGTAGACACAAGCATACTGTGGCTGTTCGCAAACTCTATGACGGGCAAATCCTGGAACAAATATAGCCAATCAAATATTCACAAATCCAATTACAGATGTGCTACCTAAAGCATGCCAGAAACAGGAGAAAGGGTTGCTTCTTCTCGTTTTACATACGACGTTTTTAGCTTTTTGTCTATGTCTCTCCATTGTACACCTAATATTAGACGATAAGAGCGCACAACGTTGGCGCCGCTGATGTCTCTTGCCACTGGAAATCAGTCGCGTGGCCTCCAACCTAGAGGGTGGACTGGCCTCACTGATGGGAAACCTGAAGTCGCCTTCTTCGTGCTTCTTTTCCACGTCATTGGTTGTCCACGACGGCACTTCCAAATCGCTCGGGAGAAGTGTAACGCTCGCTAGGAAGGCGATAGGTTGGTATTCACGGTGTGGCCGAACCAAAACATGTGGTGTCGGAGGATAACATTTTTGAGACAATGCTTGTCCGCTCTGTGCACTCTGCCACGAACTTTTGTTTTGCTTACGTGATGTTGCCATCACATGCGAGCGATCCCTCACAGGCAATGGCTGTCAAAACCGACAGTTGTTTCAGGTCTTCCGATTGAACAGGTCAGGTCTCAGCCATACAGCAGGATCGTATGGACGTAGATACTGTGCACCTTGCTCTTGAGCTGGAGACTAACATCGCGACGGCGCCATAGACGTCTGCTTCTGCTGAAAGCAAGGCGGACCTTAGCGATCCCCTCCACACCGCCCTTAGCCTTGATGCGGCTCCTTAGATGAGTGAAGCAATCGACTAGATGTTCAATCTGCATTAAAATGCGCATGCTTAGTGTGACTAGCTGGGACTGGGTTCCAGGTCGCAAAAGCAACGACGAAAGACTTTGTGGCTGTTGGTTCCTTGTGTGGACGAGATACTACCAGCTTATCTAGGCCGAAGTAAGTAGACTGTCTCAAAGCACCAATGCCGCGAGTTTTTGGCCAAAAGGCCTGACCCACAAGACAGCAGGACGAGATTAGTTTTTCGCACCCGTTTTGCATTGTTGGCTCACTCAGTTCATACATATGGCTATAATCCATCTTAGAAACTCAACACCCATCTCGGATTGTTTGCCGAGGTATAATGCCTCCAGCGAAAACAAAGGGCAGTAACTTTATGTAGTGACAATCACATTCGCCACTTCACAGTGTTGTTAAGCAGATGTTTGTGATTTTCATAATGCGAACGTTTGCCAAACGAAAACACAACACCTGCTGGAACACTCACTGATCCATTTGGTTAAACGGGAACTTCTCGAACCGCCCCGCTGGTACCACGAGTTGGTTCCTCTGAAAGTCAGCTAACGATCTAAATCCGTACTTTGTACTGTTCTCTCTTTTCTTGAGCACTCCATCACCGAACACCGAATCTATCTAACTTTCTCGTTGGGTAACACACTGACGCAAGCCCGATTGCTTGGCTCTACAGTGTTTAAACAATTCTCTTAAATATTGCCACATCGTGCTGCATGCATCAATTGTTTATCCCGCATGGCGCCTGTCTTTAGATGCGGTGAATAGACCATTACCGTCGAATGTCATTCTTTTCGTGATACTTCGTTTTTTGTTTGCATTTGAACTTGGTTCACCGGTGCTTAGTCACTGAGTGATGCCTGATTTAGTTTGTTCCGGATTAGTCACCGTTTTACTGCTTTAAGTCCATTAAACAGCCGATTACCATTGATTATTACATTATCTCATACTGTCGGCATAGCCACTGTTTCTGATTCTTTTCTTATTAACGTCTTTCTTAAATGCGGATTAACTTCTCAGATATGACTAGTTTTATCCGTGTTAAAACGCCTCCACTTTGCTCTAATTTGCAGCCATGATTTTCCTTTGGGTACTCTGTTTCTGGCATTTGACGAATCTGAAATAGACTGGAGTCCGTTCGGTGCATTCGGCTTACGTTCTGCTATGAATATCACTCGTTCTTTCAGTCTACGCAGGAAGAAGAAGAAACCGGAGCTCACTGATGGATCGAAGCCTAAGCAATGGTTAGATGATGAAGCAAAAATCAAGGAGGGGTGTTGCAGTTTCCAAGTGAAAGTAATGCCGCCCAATTATTCTATGCTACGTTTCACTCCCTCGTTTCTAGTATTTGGGAAACATTGAGGTGTATGAATCCAGAGGAATGCAGGTGTGTGAAGAAGCAATTAAAGCGCTCCGCAAATCAAAGGTAAAATTTGATAGCGCTATAGAGTTTTTTAGAAGAAGCCTCAAAAGGCCATCCTATACGTCAGTGGTGACGCCTTGAGGGTTTCTGATGACGTCAGCCAAGTGAGTGGCAATCCGTTCGAGTATCCTTGATCCATCTATGTTTGTTAGCATTTAATGGTGGATCAAACTATCGAGAAGGTCTCTTTTTGCGCCCCCGATCGAAGCCATGACAAGGGATTTGCCTACATCTGCCGAGATGGTGCCAGTAGACGGTGGATTTGTCATGCTTTCTTGGCCGTAAAAGAATCTGTAAGTCCTTTGTGGCGTCTGTTGTTGTGGTGGTAGTGGTTGTTGTTTCTCATGTATGACTTCTACACTTCTTCATGTCTCCCATGTTCGAGCTGTTTCTGTTAATCTGTGCAAACATCTTCCTTTTTCCGCTGTTTTTCTTTTACACCGGCATTTAATCCTTTCACCATCTTTCTGCACAACACTGATCAATCAGGTGGCCGAATCTTCCAGTAGAAATCTACTGGGAGCTGTTGCTGGTGGAATGCGGTCAGTCTTATATTTCAGCTAGCGTTTCCCCGGTCGTTTCCAGACACCGTCGACAGGTAGCCAGCTTCAGTTAAAATCCCCATTTTACATCTCTAGATCAGGCTTTCCTTCTGAGTTGCCGGAAATCTCCTGCTATGTAATGAGGTCAATTTAATGCCACTGCAAAGTAATTTTACTGTCCCATGTGATTGTGTTACAGAGACTTTTGTTCTACCTTTCAACTGCTTATCCTTGGTAGGCCCAATCAGTATGCCCATCTGTTGTGACACTACGACGCTCCACCTCTTTCCAGATAGTGGAACCCCATTATTTTCCCTCTCGGTGCTCTCGTATACTTGGTTCGGTCTTATAATACCGCCATAAAGTCCAACCACATCATTAATACATCATGCCCTTCGGGTCTCTCAAAAAGCGCATGGCTTCCCTTGTAAGCACCACACGACCCGCCGTGTCCCTGTCATGCGGCCATTCACAAAGCCCCCACCGGATGCCTGGATTTTAGACGTGCAGCCAGAGTCCATCTCTTTCAGCGACTCCACTCACCTTGCCTATACTGTAGTAGGCAACGCATCGTTTTTCCTAGGTCAAATGTTCGCTTCGGACATCTAACAATGTCGCAGTGGAAGCATTTGGGCATTTCTCTCATATCGGAAATTTCGCTCAGGCATACATTACTGGACCATACATTCTCGCTATGGCTGCATGCTATTGTCTCAGTCTCCAACCGTGATAGTTTCCATGGCGCGCTTTGTTCTTCGTTGACCGAAAGTCACCAAGCACCCCGATCTGTTGTCATTCAGGAACGTTCGAATTGACCCACTTACTAGTCTCGTATGCACTTCATATGTAAACCCTAACTTGTCGTAACTCACTTACACGCGCACTCGATACCAGGCGGCATCTTTGTGTCATGGAAGGCAACTCTGCTCATGTTCCCTACAAATCAACTCATAGTCTAGCATACACAGTAACGCCGCAAAAGCATATCGCCCTTCTCACCAGCGCCCTTGACCGTTTGTCTCTGCACGCCTCTCCTGGATCACATGACGATTGGATCTATCACTGTTTTTTCGGAACCTTGGTCTAACCTGTGTGTCGCGTGCAGTTAACATCGACGATGGCATGAAGTTTGCTCCACGCGACCCCCTGTTATGGATACAGAACTATTGGTCCGACGGACTTGAGTTTGAATCTGTCACCTGCTCCGCTTCTAGATGCCTAGAACCCGGCTGTTTGTCTCATCTTTTTTAGTGGCTGGCGATTAGATGGCATCGTACAGTGCTAGTGCCTTTAGAGCGCCATGCTCCCAGCTGGTCTCTGTGCAACTAAAACACATTGCTCGGATGGGACTACTCACTGACATGTCGGAGCGGATCCCCTCAAAACGTATCCTCATGACTAATGCAATCTTCCGATTGTCATGCACAAAACCAAGATACGGCCATCGATTTTCTGGAGTGAATGGAGACCGGTTTTCGCGAGTACCGTTTGATGTAGACTGCTGAACAAACCAATTGAGTGGATAGCGCAACCAAAGTCTTTCTCCACTTTTCGGGACATGTCATGGTGGTCAACCGGTCTTCATCACACGCTATTGATGGCTGGGTTCGGGGTTCACATATTTAAAATCTCTCTCCTTCACTTTCCTCGCTCGCTTCTATCGGACTTTTTTTGCGTCCTCCATCTCACCGCTAAACGGTTCGTTCTCTTTAACTGCCATATCTATCTGTACTCCTTTCATTCCGATTGGGTAATTATCGCAAATTGGATACGTAGTTTTTACAAGCTGCGTTAGCACGCTTTATGCAGCTTCGCAGCTTTTTCGATCACTGACCAAGTTCAATCTGGAAACCCGTTTTTGCATGGGTTATATGATTCTTACACTGGGTACTTCGAACTGCCTGCGATAACATTTAATTTAAGCAACCCAGGTGCATTATACTTCTGTGCGCATAAAAAGTCAACCTAACTTGATGTTTTCTACAGACATCCTTCACTTTCTAGTCAGTATACTTCAAGTCTTTAGAAGCCTGTTAAATAATTGCCATGAGGGAACATTTGTTTTTTGAAGCAAATGTCAACCATTCCGGACATATCCGTGATTAGCTGTCAATGTTGCTGTTCCCGTACTGCTGACTTGTTGGCACCACAGTCCTTCTCCACCGAAAGTTCACCTAACTGAAGGAGGCCTCATGGTAGTGGCTACTTACTGAGATGATAGAGCTTGGTGAAGCGACCAAAGTGCCGAATCGCGTTACTGCATATTGTCTTTGCCGGATTGGAGCTTTGAAATCAGTTAAGGCAGGTGTTAAGGATTTTTTCCCTGACATGATGCAGTGTTTATGTTTGCTCTTATCTTGCGTTTGTTACCGACCGCTATTGCTGCAGGCCAGTGTTTCTGATATTTCACACTTTAGCTTGTATTTTTGCGGTTTTCCCTTTTTACGCTGCTTCTTATCATCCTCAATATTTCACTCCCTGTACGCATGAGAGCAACTAGGTCCTAATCAATGGCTACACCCCACTAAGTTGTCATTGTTTTAGGAAATGGGAAAGGGACGAAACGTGAAAAGTTTCCTTACGGTATTTACTACACTGTCTCGTTGGTGTCGCATTTTTACTCCATTGAGGGCTAGCAAGATCAGCTGATGAGATGCCAGTGGAAGCGGACTCGCCGAGATCTACATTTTCACCCATACTTTCTTTCCTTACGACATTCATAACCTCTTCTGGTATACCGCCTCAAGCGGTCAAATTTTTGTCTATTAAGCTGATCTTGCGGGACGATTTGTAAAGGCAGGCGCACCAATATTTACCTCTGTTCTTTTCAGTAGCGCTGAGGTATGTGACACTGTCTGCTATGTAATGTAGGATTAGTCACTCATAATCTGTCGGATTAGCCTTCAAGCAGCTATGGATCGATCCACTCGAATTCGACAGTTCCACTCTCACTATTATTTACAATGGATTATTGTGAAAAGGGTTGTCTGAATCAGCTTCCAACCTCGCCCAAATACCATTGGCAACAGCACACTTTCCTTCTAATAGGGCCACTTGTACTACTCTTGCCACTCACCCCACATTCTTTCACCTCTACTTGAAGGTTTTCCGGCTGTGCCCCCTACCTCATCCACTGTAGCTACCTCAGATAAAGTGTTGTCGCACCGGCTTGTCCCCACTTTTGCACATTTTTACATCAAGTATAATCCTTGAAGTGTAATCGTGATTTAGTTGGCTTTCGGAGCGGCCTCGTTACAAGTTTTACATGCGATGGAGCTGTGACCGCTGGAATTCGTTAGTTCGAGCCAACTCAGCGATCCCTATCTTTGATAGTGAATAAACTGCTAACTTTGTAGTAGTCGATGTCTTCATTTAATTTTCGCGGTGCCTCTGCTTTGCAACATACTGCACTCTCAGTTCACTAGCTGTAAACCTGACTTTGTGATACCCCTCTTCTTAACAACACACATTTGAATCACATTGCTCTTCTACACAAGGTCCACTCCGATGAAAACGTGATGCTCACAGTCTTTTTCGTTATTCGCTCTGGCACTTCCCTTCCAACCTTCCTAATGACGGCGTAACTTCGAGGCTGACTTTCTCACCATCGCCAACAGCGGCAGGAGCAGCAGCATATCAACAACTTGCCACCGGAAAACCAGAATGACCTAGAGTATGCTGAATAATGAAGGAGAAGGAAAGGGAAAGTAGCGTAAAACCTAAATGCCCCAAACACAGACGATCAGGGTTAAGGCGCTTACACTTTGTCAATTTCATTGGCTTTCTTGCGGATTTCACTGCCCTACACTGGAATAATCTTCTTCATTTTTGTGCGAGTCCTTGTGCTGCTGGCCTCTGTGACCTCAATCCTTTCCGCAGCAGTGCACCTCACAACACACGCAGTCTTTGTGATATTGCCTTCTTGGTTTTGAACTAATAGTGGGCGTAATAGCTATCAGTTTATGCTCTTCACCTTACCTTTTGACCACAATTATCCATGTCTAATTTATGCTGGCCAACCTTGTGAAACATTCCGTTTAATTTTATGGGATAAGTGCTCTTTTTCTGCACCCTAACCCATTTTTGCTTATTTTTGTCTTCGGTCAGGGCGAACGTCTGTCACATGCAGTGGGATGTGCGTTCGCCATATGTCTGGAAAAGAAGCAAAAGCGGGAACGCGATGCATTACAGCTTGCTGCGTCAGAAGACCGCACTTTCGCACGAGTTGGGTCCTTTCGACCAGTGAGTTTGGGTTTTGTTTCTATCATTTCATCCCACTTAACTGTTCTGTCTAAGCGTTTCTGGTCGGTTCATTCGGTTTAACAGACCTGCTAATCAATTTGAATGATCATACCTATTGGCTCTTGCACGAGGTGACTATTCTTGTGCACTTGCTTTACCTGCGTATGCAGTGACCGAAGATAGCCATGCAACCACCACCCGTTCTTTTAAAGTCGAATCCTGTTTGCTCTAGCACTTTTGTGCTGTACTTTGTAATGTGTCGCACTACGCTTGCCATGTGAAGAACACCCATCTCACTTATTTTCGCTTACAGAAGACTAGTAGGGGGAGGTGTATGGTATAGGTGGAAATTCGTCACATCTAGACTCGCTCAGACAGCCGTCACACGCCCGGAAAAGCACTGTACGCGCGTTTCATCCTTTCGGGAATCGTCAACAGTGGGCATTCCATCGGACCTGGGTAGGGCTCGAACCCGAAACTCGACTGTTGCCAGTCGGTCGGTCGGTCACGCACACGGTGTGCCTCTTTAAACCACACTCATTTGTCCCATTGCTCCCTGTCGCTGCCCCTATTCTGTTCACGTGTGATTGGCTGGCGGTTGTTATACGTCCAGCTTTCACTGCAGATCCCGATTGGCTTTTCATAAAGCCACTTTATCCTTACCATGCTTCGATTCCCCATGGACCTGTGCAGAGCCGACCTGTGTATGTATCTCACCGGTTAACCTTCTTCCCCGCACGGTTTTGCTCCGTAGTACCGAGGTGTTCTTGTGTCCAAATGTCAATCACATAGCTAAGCGGTGGTCATTTCTCCACCATTCAGTGGATGTTCCCACACGGCTTTTACCTTGTCTCTTTCTCTCGCTCCCGAGTGACTCCAAATGGCCACCCACTTTCCTCAACTGGGCAGCGAGTAGCGGCTGACGAATGGTGGAGCACCGTTATTTTCTCCACATTTTTCTGCCGATATTCGGGACATAGTGGCCACATCATCCTGGTAACCGAAAAAGTGTGCTTTCACTTCCTGATGGTCACTGCTTCAAACAACAGTTGACCGTAATCTAGCAGCGAGTAGCGTTTCGTGTTTAAGCACAGTGTTGTATTTTCATGAAAATGTCATAAAATGTTACTTAGCATTGGAGGGTCCTTGTGAAGCACTCGTTTTGAGAATGGATTACGATGCGCCATCTCAATGTGGACTACGATTCCCACTGAATTAAGCCTTAGTCAATTCGATCACTTGGACCGTAACTGATGTAGCAGATAGGCGACGCTGCAGTTGTCCTCTGTCAACCTACGAGCCTTCGCGTATTTTGTGTGGGTCAACTTATTCAGCTGCTGGGTTATTGGATCACTGCAGGCTATCATGACTCCGCCAAAAGCAGGCTAATTTTGTTGGCCTAAACTTGCTGTCTGTTATCATGGAATGATAGTAAGGCGGCTGGACAATGTTTCCGCCACATGTTGGTCATGCGAATGCAGCGGGCCTGTGCAAACAATGGGCAGTGGTGCAAACCTTCCTCTTGACAATCGGCGCCGTTTACCTCCATCGAAGGGGGTGTCACATTTTTCCCCGACACCCTATGGGCATCCGCGTATTTCTTCTGGGTGTGTGTGGGGGATCAAATGCAGCTACAGGACTATTCGAAGAGTGTAGGCTATCATGACTCGACTAAACAGTCTAGATTTTTGACCTACTGTGCAAGTGGTTCTCAAAGAGAGGAAAGACGAGTGGACGATGTTCAGACCGCATTGTGGTCACGCGAATGCGACGGGACTGTGCAAGTAGTTGGTGACTGCGCCAGCCCTCCTTTTGATTATTAGCGTCATTCACCGCGAGTAAAGCTGGCGACCCAGTACTTCTCTGAAGCTCTATGGGAATTCGCGTATTTTCTGTGGGTGTGTGGACCAGCCTATGCAGTGCAATTATCGGAACAATGTAGGCTATTATGAATCCACAAAAACCAGTTTATCTTTACTGGCCTACCGTGGTAGTTTGTTATCGAGGGCAGGGGAGTAAGACGACTGGACGATGTTCCGGACATATGAGCTCATGCGAATGCAACAGAGCTGCGCAAACGGTGGGAAATGATGCAAGCCATCCTCTTGGTCATCATAGGCGTTGTTCACTTCCATCGAAACCGGTGACATAGATGACCTTGCACCCTATGAGCATCCGCGTATTTTATGTGGGTGTGTGTGGGCAAACCTACTCAGCTACTCGATTTTTGAACCAATGACGGTTATCATGACTCCACCGAACCAAGCATCGCTCTATTAGCCTAGTACTGCACGAAACAACCAAAATGACCGATGTACGACAATCGCCCACTAGTTGCGCAGTTCTGTTGCATTCGCATGAGCACAATATGGCCTGCACATGCTCTAGTCGCTTTACACACACGGGACCTGTTGAGCATTGCTATTTTTACCTCCACTTTTCCTTGATAACTCACTGCACCATTGGGCCAATAAAGCTTGACTAGTTTCGGTGAAGTCATGATAGCCTACACTCTTCGAGTAGTCCTGTAGCTGCATAGGTTCGCCCACGCACCCACATAAGATACGCGGAGCCCCATAGAAGGATAGAAGAATCTAAGTCACGGACTTTGATTGAGGTGAACAATGCTAATGATCAACAAGGCTTGCACCACTGCCCACTGTTTGCACAGGCCGTTGCATTCACGCGAGCACAATGGGGTCTAATCATCGTCCAGTCTTTATAAGCTCATTTCTTTGATGACGAATTGCAGCTGTATGCCCATAAAGCTATGCTGTGTTTGGTGGAATCATGATAGCCTGCAGTGATCCAATAATCCAGCAGCTGAATAAGTTGACCCACACAAAATACGCGAAGGCTCGTAGATTGTCAGAGCACAACTGCAGCGCCGCCTATCTGCTACATCAGTTACGGTCCAAGTGATCGAATTGACTAAGGCTTAATTCAGTGGGAATCGTAGTCCACATTGAGATGGCGCATCGTAATCCATTCTCAAAACGAGTGCTTCACAACGACCCTCCAATGCTAGGTAACATTTGTTTAAGCCATGATAGACTACGCGATTGGGGAGTCTGACTTTCCAATAGTCACATATCTGCACAGGTCCATGTGTAAAGTCAGAAGCACATAAACTACGAGAAGACAGATGGAGAGATAGGGGGACACTCCGTCACCGCTTTCCATCGACGCGATCGAGGTTCACGAGCAAGAGAAGAGTTTGCAGTGGCACCCGCTGGTTACACAATTCGGTTGCAGTAACATGACTACAATGTAGACTGAACATCGTCTAGTCGCCTTACTCCTCATGCTTTGCAAGCGAGTTGTTGATTTTCTGCTTAAAATCCATTGTCCAAAGTGGTTTGCAGAAGGCATTTTGTTTTGCAAAATGTCCGAAGTTATTAACGGTTTTACTCTCCCACTATTGAGGCCAAACCTCAGCGCTGGTATTTTACGCCAGTTGATCTGAGCAAATAGCTGGTAAATTATTGTGTCCCATGGTTGTTTTAAGCGGTTGGGTTCACCAATTACCACTCAACTTCAAAGCGGCAGATGTCCCAGCTGAAATTGGCGGACCGTTTAACCTCACTCCGTGTGGTAATGACAATTTTGTTAAGATTCGTCGCAGTTAGACTCTGGCAAACAGCCACAACACATCCATTAAAGCGCTAGATGGCCGTTTCGTCCTATTGGGACTCGTCAGTAGCGCGCACCCACCGAATCCTGCAGGATTTGAACTCACGACTTTGCTCTTGCAAGCCAGCGACTTATGCCACTGAGCCATGGGTAGCTGCAGCGGACCGCCGTGACTGATATCTAACTGCGATATAGCACGGCTCATCCCCCACTGTCATGCATTTTTGAATGTGCAGAGGACAGGGTTGGCCCCCAGAGCTACGACCTCCTTTGCAAGCTGTGACCAATCGAAGTGGCATATAAGCTGCCAAGATGACTGCTGATTATTTGTAAGTAAAAGGCGATCCGCTGTCATCGCCCATGGCTCAGTGGCATGAGTCGCTGACTCGTAAGAGTAGGGTTGTGGGTTCGAATCCGGCAGGATTCGGCGGATGCGCGCTACTGACGAGTCCCAACAGGGCGAACCGGCTGTCTAGCGCTTTCCTGGATGTGTGGTGGCTGTCTGCCTGAGTCTGACTGCGACGAAACGACTTGCAACCTGTGGACAATTCTTCTACCGCCTGTAGCGACCACATTAGGCAGAAATTTGGGAAATAAATGCTGAAATCGTGTTAAGGATCTTTGATAACCTATAAAATCTTTAGAAAGTGAGTAACTTTTTGATTTTTGTTATCCCTGCGTTGACAGACGATTTTTCCGCCGACTTATAAGCGGCACGGCTAGCCCGAATATAACCCTGTGGCCTACGTGCTGAACTGTCGGCCGTGTGGCCGGGGTTCGATCCCTGAGTGCATCGCTCTTTCTACTCACTCCGGCGATACATACACAGAGACTGGAACGATACAGAGAGGATTGCGATGGCTTTTATGCAAGGATGACATTCAGAATTTAAAACTTTGAAATTGTTAAACGCTTGAACCAATACAGGTTAGGATGGAACACCAAGGCATATGTTTGCGCAACATTGCTTACCAGATTTATTTGCGTGCATTTTTCTTCATTTCTTGCTCGTGAGACATTAGCAAGCTACCACATTGCTTATCTAGACTTTATTAACTATGGAGGCTCACACAGAAGGATCACGATGCCCAACATCTTCAGGTTTGTGGGGTTTCACGGGTTTTTTAGTGGCCACTTACGACGTAAAATTGCTCATATCCTTTGCCGTTAAGCGAAAATTCGTGGTAAAACAATTTTAATTTTGAATGTCCGCCCTCCTCTGATCTACCGCGCGCATTCCAAAGTTCGCGGAGTAGAGAAATTCCCCTCTACCTTCTGGTGTGGGTAGCTTTAATATTTGATATCTTCCACCCAGCGTAACTCACTGATTCACAGAACACATACCCTATCACACGACGTTATGTTTCCGGTTATTGAGCCCATGAGTCCTGTTTTCGTGTCTACCTTTGCAGCTTTTGATCTCTTGTGTTGCAGATTCGTGTTACCCCTCCCCTAACTTCGCATACTTCTGGTAGCCACCATCCGTCTACTTACCCGCTTGGAGATGGTACCACCAGTGGTTTAACTTTTTTATGGCAAGGCAGGTTCGTTAGGATGCCTGTTCGGGCCTAGCAGGCAGGCTGACTCTCACGTGTGAACTAATCACCCAATTTCCATTAGACCAGCACAGCATTCTCAGTCTTCGTGCAGTGTGCTACCTCAGTATGGAAACCAAGGTTCCATTTGTATTTTGGTGGCCATCGATCTTTTGACACGTGTGTATTTTTCTTCTATACTTTCAATAATGCGACGAGTGGAACTAACGTCGAAACAGCTTTGTATTATCGCTAGCTGCTTACTAACTATTCCAATTCTCCTCTAGGCCCTTTATCCACGGATGTCTCTTTTCAGCCTGCTGCCTTCGTGGTAGAGCTGTTTAATCCTTCTAAAGTGCGTAGAACCAACGAGTTCTTTTCCTTAATGGCCATCTTGCATTTACACGAATACTGTTTTTGTTCTTTACGTACTGGGTTGATTCGTTGCATCTACCGTTGTTATTTCTAGGCTTCTCTTGCTGAGCGTTTAATCGATCCGCAATCCGCCATCGTCACCGATCCAGTGTCTCCTCGTGATACGGACTCCTGTTCAACTATCACACCTGCCAAGCCAATGTTACCACAAAATCCTTCCCTTTTTTCTAGCACTAGAAACACCATTGTTCCTCGTCCCCGTCCCAGTCCCTCCATTTTAGAACGGCAAGTAAGTACAAGTTCCATGGGCTCTCTATTCGGCTCATCTCTGATTTTTGAAGATGAGGTCATCCTCTGTATGCGCTGCGGTTGAGTGGTATCCCACCGAATAATCCTATGTGTTCCTATTTGTTCAGCCTTTATTTCAGCTAGCTCATTCCAACCATTCGGATTCCCTGGCCCATTTTGTCACCCGAAGTCATTATTCTTAACATCTACTGGATGCTAACATTTTTGTACTTATCAGTCTTCTTGCATCCTCCGACTTTGACCACCTCTATATCCTTGCCAGCACTCTACGTTTAACCGTTTTTCATAACTTTAGCGTTCACCATCTAAACCTTATGGAATCAGACCTTTGTATGTTGATCACTTGGGCCATAACAGTCATTATTAATTTAGCCATGTTACCATGTGAAGAGTTACTATGCAATGGTCGCCGAACAATCGTTTGTTCAAGTAATAATGTGTTTATAGCAGGCTTTTGCAAGGGGTGAAATTCTCCTGATCCACACTCATTACACATTACTTCTCCGCAGACGTTTGACTATACAGCCTCCAACAAATGGACCTTGGCCGTTTTTGTGTGAAATCTTTTCTCAAACAAGCACCCATCACGCCTACCTTTTGTAACGTGTCCACGCAAGGCACAGGTCGCAATCAAGAGTTTGAGTGCCTGTCTCTAAGCTAATCACTTCAACATCCGTTCATTAGCCTCTTGGATTGTGGTGACATTGACGCTTACGTCCACACTGATCGTGGAGCGCATACCTTGCACTATTTGTTGTCTACCTGAGAGCGCAAACAATTGCGGTTTGTCAAAGTTGGATTTGGAGTACACACTGAGTAGTTGGATTGCGAGACGCAATCTCTTTTGTTGTTCGTTATTGGATGTACTTAATGTTCTGTAAATAACACCCTAGATCGTGGATCTACTCCATGCTTTGAACGACTTGGGAGCGGCTATTACGCGCACCGCAGCATTATGGCCCAAAGGAAAGCCCAAAGAGTTGAAGTTAATGAGAAGAGTAATCGACTACATTTTCTGAAAAAAAGCAGGCAACGAAAGCCCAGAGAATATGGTGTTAGCAAAGCAATCATTTAGAAGCATCCAACAGTATAAGCATGTGTACTTGGATAGGTCTGATAATGGAAGAGGTTATCTATATCCGATGAGTCGGAAAACTTCACATGATGAAGTCAGTGAAGCTACGATGCACTGGTTCAAACTAATCAGGACAGTTAATACTCTAATCTCCGGGCCGATGATTCAGGAAGCTGCGAAGAAACTTGTGAGAATTTGGGGTTTCAGATTTCCAAACATCCAATGGTTGGCTAGAGTAATCTAAACTTTTACACAACATTTACCAGAGTCCTGTGTGGTGAATCTAATGAAGTTCCTGAAGAGTTTGTTAATGAATTCACCGAAAAATTTCCCGACTTCAACAGGAGTTTCAGCGATGATAGCATTTTTAACGCTGACAAATACAGCCTTTTTTTACAAAGCGGTACCTGGCAAGAGCCTTGTTACTAAGGTGATAAATGTAAGAGCAGAAAGCATTCCAATAAACATCATACAGTGTTGCTGTGCTCTAACTCAAGTGGAGCGAAGCTCAAGCCCTTAGTCCTTGGTAGATTAGCTAAGCCAAGTGTGTTCAAAAACCTGAATGCTGAAAATCTTCCAGTCATATGGAGACGAAGCAACTCTGCGTGGGTGAATGCTGCCATACTATGATGAGTGGATAAGAAGCATTGACCAAAAAGTGATGCTAACAGATAAGTTCCGTTTGTCACAGAGTACAACCAGAAACAATACAGAAGGGCTTCAAGAAAGCTGAATTCCTTCAAACTCTCGAGCAGGACACTGTTGACTTAGCAGACATTCAGTCTTCCATAGCATAATTTGCTGGTATACATTTGCAGGAGTTTTTGAAATGCATGATGACTTTGCAACCTGCACTGAACCAGGCTCAGATGCTATTTTCAAAGATATACTCCGAGATATTCCTACTGGAACAAGCAAGCAACGCCGGATGATGAGGAAGAACTAAGTGAAGAATACCTAAAAACCACAGAAACTTAAAGAGGATCTTAGGCATCTTTTAGTGCTGCGGAAAATGTTTTAGACTTATTAAGTAGTGCAGCTTGTGTTGATAGCGCCTTTTCAGTTACCTTTGTGATAATGGAGAGAAATACAGATTGAATTTTTCGATAAAATTGATTTAACTGAGAAAAGCACTACGTTTTGATTTATTATAACGCCGTATGATTGAACTGTGTTTGCGATAATGCGAGAGCTTATCTAATAGATTCGAAATATGCGTGCATGAAAATAAACTTCCGTATATACTGCTCTACACGGAAAAGGCACTCTAGTTTTGCATAGGACCTCCATATCTTGACCACTTACGTAGGCTTTACTGTAACTCGAAGACACGGTTCATCCTTTTAAACTTCTCCATTATTCTCTTGAAATTGAACAGCTTCGGGATATCGTTGCAACGCATTACGTAAACTTTTATGAGTCTACGTACGAAGCATTTATGGGTCCGTATATTTCCGCGTTCTCTCTGGAACCACCACGCATCCAGCCTTTTTGTCTCCTCCCTGACTTTGTGGTGTGAAGCTTCAGTTCACCTTAGCACACATTGCCGTAGCACTGCTCAGTAGATAATGCGACGTGGATGTCGAATTCATATCAGCAGTCTGCCGCTCCACCATCGAGTAGCAGTGTTAGCTGTACTAACTGTAGGTTAGCGGTTATTTACAAGTCGACGCACCGCTTCCTCGCATTGGCCAAGTCATACTCTTTATGGTTGATTTGCGTGGGATGTCCGGGATGCGACCGGTTTTTTTCCCTATTTTATGAGTTCCAGTCTCGTGATCTCATTCTATAAAGTCATAAATAACTAGTTGCTTCTCGACAACGTGACGTACGTTTGCATACGTATTAGTGCCGCTTAAATGATCACTGTAATCTGAACACGAGTGATCAATAAATGTAACAAACTTTTTAACTTTGCCAGTAGCATACTGGATCTGTGTGTACGTATATATGGCTCGCTAAGGCTTGTAATGACGAGATCCTGACAGATCGTTGACCGGCTGTTTCTAATGTATCTTGGACTCATGTCCTGCACACCTCTTCTTAGCGACTGCCGGATAGGAGTTGTTACACACTACTGCTTGGATACTATTACACTTAGCATTATATCACTGGTTTTTAAGTTTTTCATATCTGTAATGTTTAGTATCTCGCTTTCTCTTATATCGTATCTTTTGTATTGCGGCACAGTTGGTTGAAATGTGTTTGTCACCTTCACCTAATGTGTAATGATTATGATAGTGGGTTTACACCCTTCTTCCGGCTAAGAGCAAGGACACACTTCCGCATAAGTCGCTTCACCGACTCATGGTGCATTTACTGCAAGTGTCGAGATCCCTGCTGATGTAGAGAAGGGGATTCACTTTCGCGAGGTGCGTCGACACTTGACGCACGAGCTCCGTCACATCATGAACGCATGGTGGACGGAGAAAGCGGAGCAAATGGAATCCTACGCCAAACACCGTGTATGGACTAACCTTGCAGCCACTGAGGACGCTGCTCGATCCTATTTCATCTACTGGTTGCACACAGACTACGGATCTGACGAACGCAACTTGACTGTGTCTTGAACAACCGTCCAGAGATTGACTGACCTACGTTGCACGGGCTGTAACAGCAAGAGATAAAGTGGTGTCTTGCCGATACACCGACGCTGGATGAGGGTAGAGAGTACTTGCTCATTTGCGAAACGGCAGGCGCCCGGGCACCGACGGGATCCCTCCTGAAGTGTTGAAACACAGCCGATCCGCTTTGGTAAATACGCTGCACCACGTGGTGCAACGCGTGTGGATTGAGGAGGAGGTGCCTCCCGAGCTGAAGGATGCCCTTGTGCTACCACTCTACAAGGGCACAGAGAGCAAGCAATGCGCCAGGAATTATCGTGGCATCAAGTTGTTGTGCTGTTTGGGTAAAGTGATCTCCCGAACCCTGCTCAATCGTCTCGTCAACCAGATTGTTGAACAAAACGTGGCGGAAGAGCAATGTGGATTCCGTTCTGGCCGCAGCACTATAGATATGGTGTTCGTGGCTCATCAGTTGCAGGTTAATTGCCGAGTGTGACACTAACTCTGTTTCTTGACTTCACTAAGACATCTGATACGGTGGACCGACAGGCACTGTGACTGGTGTTGGGTAAGTTTGGTTGTCTGAGTAACTTCGTAAGTTTAATTGAATGTCTGCACAGTGGTATGCGGGCGAAGATGCAGCTGAGTGGCGAGACCTCGGATGACTTTGTATTTGTCTCTGGTGTGAAGCAAGGCTGTGTCTTAGCTCCTGCCCTGTTTACTATTTATCTTCATGCCATGCTATCTTGTGCTTTTGATGCTGCTTGTGCTTACGGTCTTCGTGTGGAGCGCTCTCTTGATGGTGGGTTGCTGAACACCCGTCGTTTCGGTGCGAGAACCCTAGTGTCTCAGACATTCATCCGTAGTTTTCTGTTTGCCGAGCACAACATGTTTGTTACACGCAGTGAGGATGATTTGCAGCGCATGATTCGTTTCGACAGCGGGCGTGTTCAGACTCACCATCGACACAAGCAAGACTGTCTTTTTCAACCTTCACCAGAAACTGAATCCATAGCCTTTCCGCAAATCCAGGTTTGCTTATTACGTCTTGGGGCCCACATGGAAATTTTGCTACCTTGGGAGCGTACTTTCGCCGGACCTTCGGATGACTAGCGAACTGCGTATCGCAAGCGGCTGGCGCGTTGGGGAAGCTGGAATATCGGGTGTGGAAGAATCACTAACTGACAGTTGAGACGAAATATTCGGTGTGCCGCTCGATGCTGCCGTCTGTTCTCCTGTTTTTTGTGTGGAGCGAAACGGACGTTGTACCGGAAGGCCGTCCAGTATCTGGAGTGGTTTCATCAACAGTACCTGCGTCGTATTCTGTGAATCGGCTGGGGTGAACGAGTTGCTGGCATGTATACTTCTGACTTCTGCTACGGCGCCTGAGGTTGCTGGGATATTCTGGCGTATAGATTCGACAGAGATACCGAAACAGCTGCTCTATAGCCAACTGTGTGCGGGGAAGCCGAACGCAGGAAAACCAAAGCTACCTTGCCAGGATATGATCAAGGTGAATTTATCACATACTAATGTTGACTTTAGGTGTTGGGAAGCAAATGTAGTGAATCGTCGCCAATGGCTTGCCCACATCAAGAATCTGGTTGCCAGGTGGACGAGAAAGTGTTGCTTCATACGGAAGAGAAACGCAGGTTATGAAAGCGATAGGCGCCGATGGATTATGCCACATAGACCTCAAGCGCATGATGCTGTAGCACATGCGGTCGCGAGTACCTCAGTCAAGCCGGTCTCATGAGCCACCAGCGTGTCCACGTGTTGCTGCTATCGGAGATGTGACGATTAAACTATATAGGTAAACACCATCAGCGCTTGGTACTTACGCTGCTTCCGATTCCATTTAGTAATCCGGGCCAATAGTGCGGTCGATGGGGCACGTGTGCTACATCGTCGCTGCAATTGATCTGTGCGTGTGTCTGCCTGTCCATTTTCTTGCATTCTGGTGTTTCTTGATATCCTCGTGGTTCCGCTTGATGTGAATGTTAACAAGGTGTCTAGCTACCAAAAAACCACAACGTCCATTATACTGGCTCCAGGATGCAGTTGGTCGTTGCTTGGGGAGTCGAAGTGCACAGGACTCGTGATTTTGCTAGGCTCCAAGAGTAGTTCCATCCAGTGCGGAACGGGCTACGGCCCAGCCACTGCCTTGTGAATATCTGGTACGCATGATTCCCTAAATAGATAGATAGTAATGCTACTACGGTGCATATTGTAGGATTGTGAGCTGACTCCGTTGATGAGACTTGGCTCCCGTCCACATACCTCCCGGTGTTATTCCTTCGCGTTTACACCGAACCGACTTCTTGATGGATTTTCATATTCATGATCCCATTGTTGACACTTGTTGTGATCAACTATTGGCATGTATCAGATGCCAATAATTAGCTGATGGCGTTTACTGGATTCTTTACCGAACCTTCCACATCATAGCGTAATACCAAGAAATATCTTTACTTAAGCTTTTGACCGTATAATACTACTTTGAGATACGTCTCTCTGATTGTATACCAACAGTTTCGTGGTTGTCGTTTCTTCGCTGTAGCTTTCTTCTTCCTCAGCGTTCACTGCTGCTGGCCTATGTGTCATCTGTCGACTTACGGATTTGGTTATTTCTCTCCATCGTACGTTCCGAATCGATCAGCTCATGCTATCCGTCACTAGTCCTTTCTCCCACTAGTAACCACAGCACTCGTAATGTGGATGTGTTCTGCTGACAGACTTTCACATCGCATTGATATACCATGACAACTACACTGCCAACCGCAATCATCCCCCTAAGTCGATTCTGAACGAATTTGCTCCCATCCTCAGACCTTTAATTGTGCCAGGAACACAGAGTGCTTCCGCTACATTAATGATGTTTTTTGTTCTCAACCATTCTGATGGGCTTCTGTTCGCAGAAGTTTCATCGACTTAGCTTCCATCAGTCACCCATCTATTCGGAAGCTAATACCTCAGCTACTCTGTCAGATACTAATCGAGGATTCCAACGGAACTGGCGTTCACTATCCTCGTCTCAGTGTGCAACTCATTAATGTATCTCTCATTAAAGCAATAAGTTTAAACTACTTTCTCCCACATGCTTTCCCATCATATTTGTCACCGTGTTCTATTCTATCTAACTGTTTCTAATCCAATCCAACTCATGTATTCGGGTTCCTTGACCTACATTTGGGAAGCTGTTGACCGAGTGGTTCCGGTATCTGGCTTGTATTCCACAGGTCGCCGGTTTGCGCTTTTTAGATATTGGTACGCTTACCGTATCACTGACTTACACGTAGTCACACGACTTCGAGATACTGGTAGAACGTACCAACGTACTGTTTAAACCTGTTACCAAGGTTAAGCGTTGGTGTGTCCTGCGCACTCTGTCTCATTCACTCCCATTACGTGCATGTGTGTTCGTGCCTCATACTACTTTACACGTACCCCCGGTTTTTTACAGCCTGTCAGTGTGCTATTCAAATGAATTTTGCTTTCGTAGGTAGCCTCGCTGCATCGGTTTCGTTTGCACAAGTTGCAACCAGATCAAATTGCACTTAAACCGTTTTTATGCAAATATAGTATGTGCCCTGATGACACTTTCTACGTTTCCATGAACTCTAATGAATTGCTTACCGCACCACTGGCCTTTTCCAAAATCCGTTAGCACGAAAAGCTTATTCATCACCTCTTTAATCGCTCTAGTTCCGGTCACTTTCCTTCTCTACCCATCCCCGAGATCGGTGTTTACAACCTAGCGATTTCCGCTGCAAGTTTCCCAGGCAGCATGCTCTCACTCATGGCTGGTTACTGCGCTGATGTGAGCCGGATGCCCATCAGTACATTAACATTTCCCCATTTGCCACAAATCTGGCCTCTTTTTTTGTCCATACTTCTGCTTGCCGCATTGTGCATGTTCGTCCGCCCATGTGTCCACTTTACCTTTCGGTGCAGTCTGATTTGCATATTCGCAGATACACTCTTCTTCTGCATCAGCCGTGTTAATTTTCATAGTCTCCTTTTCTGTATTGGACGTCGCTCAAGAATCGGACAATGCACGGATCCTAATGTATCCAATCTGTCATAATTCCACTTAGCCGTCTTGAGACAAAAGAAAAACATCGTGAAAGAAACGACCGACCTTTTCAGACTGCGTTTAAGCTCTTCGAGCTGTATCCTGTCACCTTTCCTTCTTATCTTCGCCATTGAGGAAGTTATGGAAACTGCATACATTGGGCACGACTTGGAAGATGTGGAGCTGGTTCTTGGTGATCGACTTCTTGGAGTATGCCAACCACATTGCCTTACTCTGTGATAGCTCACAAACCTGCCAAACAGCACTTGGCAGATTAGCACTGGGTGTCAATTGTTTTGGACTATGTTTTGCAACCTCGGATTTCGAAGTCCTTCTCCGAGCTTGGCAGGGACTCGTCCCTGCGCTGACCCTTGATGGTGGTCAGCTAAAAGTCGTCCGGAAATTCATGCATCTATACAGCTATGTTAGCGCTTGTGGAATAGTAGATGCTATCACGAACCATATGGCAAGCGCTGGAGGTGTTTTTTGCTATCTTTACCTGTAGTGCCGGCGCGATATCACTCTCGTCCTGAGGGGCAGAGTTTACAATGCAACGATGCGTTCAACCCTTATGTACGGTTGTGAACCCTGGCCAGTCAGATCGACAGACATAAAGACCACTGGTGCATTTGCAGTTTACTTCACATCTGGTGGGAACACCACTGGAGCAATGAGTATATTCGGCGTTCTCTTTAGGGCACAGCACGCGGAAATGAACCGCTCAGCACCATTATTTCGGGCACCAGACTCCAATAGCAGAGTCACGTGTTACGTATGCCATCCCATCACCTCCCGCGACGTGCGTCGTTTGCGTAACTTGGATCTGGATGGAAGAAGAGCGGCCGACCGATGACGGTCAAAATGATGCCCCTAAATTTGAAGTTGGCATCGCTTAAAGTCTCTCGATTCCTGGTTTTTAGTCCGGAGAGCGAGGAACACTTGTTGACATGACAATGAGCCGTCCTCATGTGTTATGAGTTTCATCATCCCTCTCCATCTCGCTTATCTCCTATCTCCAACGACGATCTCATTCCCCATGCATAATATTACTTGTTTTTGTATTCTGTTAATATTAGTATCTCGCGTTTTCATATCATTTTGTATTGCGGCACAATAACTGAAGTGTATTTCTCACCTTTAGCTAAAAGTAAACAAGTGAAGAGTATGACAGAGGAAGGAAAAATGCGATAACCAGCAAGATGAACCTAGGGTCATACGCTTAGATGGAAAGCGAATACACCTTGAAACTCATAATTGCACCATTTATACGGTTTGTAGACGTTGTTGTAACCGATTGAAGAATAGCCCTGTTTAGCTTTATCACCAGTTCATGTTTCCGACTGCTCCTGGGTTGTTACGCCCATTTGTTTCTCAGCGTGTTCTCTTCTTTCTCTCCATCGCATTTAGGGTAGTTTACGAGTGTTCCCCAAGTTACAGGACGCCTGTCCTTTCAAACGCGATTTATCGGTTCGATTGGATGAGTTGCCATCCACCTTGCAGCGGCTTACCTGTTCTACTAGCGGTGAGCTTTCCTGTTTCCTGCTTATAAACACTTTGTTTTTGACACTCTTCTGCATGTCGGCGGCGCTAATCAAGCAGATGAATACAGCGATTGCTGGATGTTCATTGGCAATTTGCCATTTTTGATCCATTTTATTTGATGTTATCAAAAATATGCCGTCTATTTCACTGCTCACATCAGCGAGCTACCGCGCCTGATTACATACGATGACTGAACTATTTGTATATCCGACAATCCGGTATCGACTATTTTAGACTTAGACGAATAGAAAAGACCTCGATTTACGTTGCATTTCAATTCCACGGGCACTACTGTTTAAGCTATTTTCTGCTGAGTTTCAGATTTTATCCATTTTTACATGGGGAACAAACACTCACCTGAAATTTGGATTCGAAATAATTTGGAACACTGGTAGTCGCCCGGGTTGGATATTCACCTGTTGATCGCTTCTCCGAGCTTGATTGCATACGTTTCACCACCATGTGCGATGGTGAAACGTATGCATTTGCTTTATCAAGCTCGGAAAAGCGATTAACAGGTGAACTTTGGATTTTGAAAATTCAGCATCCCTTAAGAAATATGATGATTTTTCCAACTGTTTTTTAAGGACGCCAGCAACAAACAATACCGTGACACTGCAATTTATAAGAGAACATCATACCGCCTTTTCCGAACCAAAACATTCGTTTGCAGATTTGAAGTGTCAATGTTTTACATATCTTTCAAAGTGATAACATAACAGACAATTACTCATTCTAAAAGCATATGTAGCGCACATTTACACAAAATGTGTGTTCCATTGTTCATCCATGGTATGCCGCAGAACGCGCTGGGTATGTAGTGACACATCACACACTGGACAGAGTAAATTAGCCTTTTCTCCACACGACAGCGAGATTTCCTGATTCAGTCTTTAACTTTTTGGCGTTTGCTGTTGGGTGCAAGAAGATTTTATGGGACATTTATCTCTGCTAGATACACCTACAAGCAGACTTTCACGCCAGTTCGTTTGATGGAAGACAGGTCATACTGCTCTTGCCCATGTGCAGGTGATTTTCTCTGCAGAAGCCAAACATTGTTCATTGCAGCTTCATAGAGAAAAGCGAATAGCGGTCACCACCAACTTTTGCTGCGAAAACTGAGTCCATATTGACCGACATTTTAGTTCAATCGATCCACTCCTAACATGGAAGTGTTAGGCTTTGTAACGATACCATGTTGTTCAATAAGTATGTGCTTTCGTCCTTCGCCGACCACTTCTTTAATTTTGTCAGAGGATATACACCAACAAACTTATTGTCAAGACTCACGACGGAACCATCATCCGAAGACAAAGCGCCTGTCAAATCTGTAGTCAAAAGTTTCCGTGTTTAGTTTTCTTAATGGCTTCGTGTCAATGGGCCCTTGACTGTCCTGTTTGCTCGAACTGTCCCCGGTTGTTCGGATGCCTTTGTTGGTTGAGGCTTTCATGAACGGCAAGCCTGTAAAAAGTTGTCACAAAAGATGTGATAGAGCCGTCCTTTCGGGGGCTTGTCCACTGGGCCCATAATAAGGCCACATTCTAAGCCTAATGTTTTGCCGTATTTGGCTTGAGCTCCTTGCTAGAGATCCATATGGGCAACATAATCTAAGATTTGTTGCAATGACTCACTGTTTATACACGAATCGAATAGGCTTCCCCCAAATGCATTGTTTTAGCCCATGACGGGCGTAATATGGTTTCATGTATCCATCTACGCAGATTTTTCTTCCATAGGGAAGAATGTCATAAATCATTCATTAGGAAGGTCATAAAGTGGTCGAAATTTGTCATCTGCTTGAAGATTGCATTGGTTTGATAGATGGAGACACTTCATGATTGTGTCAAATCTGTTCATGTGCATTGTTTTACTGATGGCTGCATTGTGGGCGTCTTATTCAGGATCCCAATACATGTGCCATTGTGGTAATAGATTATAGCCAAAGATAAACAAAATAGCGAAAAAAACGCATTTCAGCCGTGCTTATACTGAACCTATTTCACTTTTTGAGCGGGCGTTATCGAAGAAGCGTTCAAGTGACTTATACGGTGTAAGCACCTCCTTTTAGAAATCTCTTGGTCTGTGATCCTATACATAACTCTTGTTTTCTCCGTGAACCAGTTCTGATATCCTTTTGAGTTTTTATTGAGGAAACAAGCACAGGTGCAGCAACGTCCTCTTGTGAACCATTATTGCTACCTACTGGTTCTTCTTTGGATGGTTCGCCCTCCCCTATTTTGACTGCAATTACCGATCCATGTGACGATCTAGTCTAGTTTAAGCGTCACTGAGTAACTGCTTCGCTGACAGATCATCAAGTGAACCAGCATCTTTAATCACTTCATTGATATCGTCTTCATTAGAGTTTTGTTCATCACCCGGAAGTACAATGGAATGGTTGCTTTCCAGAGCACCGCCAACTTTCTCTATCACAGTGATAAGATCTTGTACAGAATATATTTTAAAGTTTCTGTCTAAGAAATAGATATAACTATTAAAAACATAGTTCGCGTACAATTTTAATAAGGACAATCACATAAGAGGGAAAAGCATCTTAGTACAATCCAAGATGTTTCACACTGCAATAGTATAAGTGTATTATATCAGAACTTATATCGGACTGCGTCTGCAGTCTCATGTCACCTTTTCGTTCACTGATTGGATCGTTCGCGTCTGGTATCACTTTGTACTTTGTGTGATTTTTTTTATCTAATGCGCCCCTCATTCACTATGGTCTATTGTGGAGCCGTGTGCACATGTTGCGATTCACATCAGCTGACAAGCCATACCACCGGTTTTTCATTACCCCCCAGCTGTATACCAATCACTAAATGACTCCGTTACCATTATATGGAATCCTGTGCTTCATTTGAAAATCTCACCGATTTAGACCGGTTTTTAGTCGTAGTGGGCTGAAGAGAACAAGCGTGGGTTCAGCATGGGTCTATACGCAGCCCGTGTGAACTATACACCTTCATAGCAGCGATGATTACCGACTGTTCGAATCACCTTTTTTCCCTGCATCTATGGCTGCATTGTGATAGCAAACGAGGTATACTCGCCTTCGCCGTCATTGGTAACACGTCTTTTGGCATAATTCTTACTGGTGTTCCCAATTCATTTGGGTGGCGTATTAATAGTGATAAAGATTGCTCAGTGGCTTATTTAAACTATGGGCACATTATAGGCATTCCTACTAGCCTGATTTCACTATTCAACTGTCACTCACTTGATTCGGCTCATACAAGGTGTCCGGATGAATTAATCGATCCAGTCCCGTGTAGATGTTGTGTTTTACACCTCTTAGCATGGACTTCAGCAGCTGAGTTACTAGCTGACATAATGATCGCCTGTTCACTACATCGTTTACAATCATCTTGTGCAAACCTGCCTTCAGGCCATCCATCATTACATCACTTCAACCCCGCTTCACTGTTGAGTTTATTCGAACTCCTATGACATACATCTGTTTCGAGTGCGGTCCCAGTGACTGAATTTTTCGCGTTTCAATTCAAAGTGAATCCGAGGTCAAATAGAGGTTGCGCGTCACTTTCCACTTACACACACAAGCAGTGGTTTAAAATGGCCCCCCGCTGATCGTTCACCACTGCAACTGTGGCTTGGCGTCAGTGGCTTCTTCTGATATCGCAAAGGCCCCAGGTTCACGGCTTGGTCCTGCTGTGTCTACTTGGTGAGTGCAACGACAGTCCGAAATTATTCGTGGAGCGCATTGTTGCGAACGAGCAGCACGTACCATTCATTTTCCTTCGATCCGGCCCCAATGGCCGAGTAGTTCGTATCACGACATTTGGGGTTTCGTGTCACAATGCCTTCACCCAAAATGTGCGCTCCAAAATGACCCACGGTTGTTCCGACTTCGTAATGTGCACCTAGTCCACCACCGAACTTGTCCCTTGTCGATAGCACGATAACGTCTCATTACGGCACACAGATTGTTTACACAAAGTCTGTAGGTCACATGATGGTTTCTCATACTTGACTTCATCGCCGTTTACGTAGCCATCTGGAGGACATCGCCTATGTCCGTTCCACGGTGACTGACTGATTCAACGTGCCCAATGGCGTCTGGCGTCGTTCATCGATCGCTTTGATTAACCGCAATTCGGACAACCAGTAACTGTCTGATTGTTTCTTTCATCACAGAATCGCGTTTTCATCTGTGCCGGTGATAGATCGTTTTCGGATTAGAGCCGTAATTACCATGGATAATTTTAATGGTGCCTACACGTGGGAGCTGTTCGTTTATCAGAACCACCCTCTATCCGCATGTGTATTCTCCTTCGCTAACGATAAACAAACGTCGCACTACTCTGTCTTCACTTCACAATCCTTGTGGTTCATACATTGTTCTTGCCGTATTTTACACTTATCCTCATCTGGTTAATGCAGGCGATTCATATGTATATGGGTCATTCCATGACTGTCATCCTTTTGGTTATATTTTATTTTTTCGTTACGTAACTCGCTTTATCCCGAATTTTTCACTCATCCTCCCTACAGGTGATGCTATCCCCGAAGAAACTGGGCAGGAACTAGAAGAATGCCCTCCTGAACCTAAACTCGAGTTGCCTGGTTCACATCCTTCACTTTTCAGTACTTCCTTTCTACCATCCTCCACACTTGACTCCGTTCCAAACGCATCTGTTTCAAGTGGCTCCCTAGCACAGAAACCACACCCCACTGCTCAGACCGTCTCGTCATCCGTGCACATTGTCCCGCAACCGGCTACCGCTCCCTCTTCTGACTGTTCTGCCTCCTTCATTGATGATTCTTCTGATCCTTTCTCCGCCGCTCCGTTCAGTCGCGAAATAGTCCAATCTCACTATCCTGTTCAAACTGCTCCAGTCAGTCCTCCCATAACTTCAGTAATAGCACCAGAGCTGGTAATCCGCACTAAGGTGAATGAATGACGTACTATCAATTAAACTTGCCTTTGACTTTCAGGAAGTCACGTTTGATATAGGATCATTTGTTGGTAGCTCAAGGTGTTTAGTTAATTGCCAGACTATTCGCTACCCTTGGCCATTTTGTTTTACTCACAACTATACCATCTACTAGGTGCATTGCGACAAATCATAACAAACTGGAACTCAACACTACGCGGATCAGCGAACACAAGATGATCACACGAAGACGCTGTCCATATCCTTTAGTTTCCACGCACATTGACCGGGAATATGTGAAGATACTAACGCGTGGAAACGCCAATTAAATGAGGAAAATCTTGGAGCAATAACACTTGAAAACCAATTCAACAAGCCGAAGTGCTATACTATGTGAAAATGATCCAAAACTCGCTAGACTAAAGAATTGAAGATTGACAGCTCAGGTTGTTCAAGTGGCGGTTAAAATGTCCGCTACGCTTGGCAATTTTGTTGCAAACGTTTCGTTACCAATCGAGGTGACATCCTCACGACGAAAGACTCGCTCACAAGAACAAATAGACGAGGGTCACGAAACACAAGTCGGAGGAGTCAAACTCAAGGGTCATCTACCCATCAAACAAGCTGAACGCGGATCCAAGTCCCAACCAATAGGATTTCTCATCTTCACGGGCAACCACGACGGCATAAAAACGCAGGCTCAGCGCGCTCTCGCCGAGGCACCTCTACGCTACTGCACGCCACGCAAGTACTCCATGATGATGTCACCTCGATTGGTGACAAAACGTTTTCAACAAAATTGCCAAGCTCAGCGAACAGTTCAACCGCCACTCGCTGGATTAACTCTAGCGTCATAGCAATACGCCGGTACGCTATACGAACACTTCGCTGCGTTGCGATGCCGCCATTATCAGTCGCAGGCGGGCTCGAAATATTGCGAGGTCGTCTACACCTACGCAGATTCGAACCGACAGGACAGATACCTCATGTCTAGTATTGATACTCTATTTAAGAGCAAGTAGAAGGGTTTCTGTACAACTCTACCGAGTTATGAAAAATCAAAAAACATTTAACTGAATCGATACGAATCTGATGTGATACTTTGTTCACGCTGGGGACCCTGAGTTTGTAACGGTGTCCTCGGGTGTTACAGGGTTCCCGCAGGTTAAATATTGGTTGTGGTATGGGAAGTGATTCAAGGGTAGTACTCGATATGTCATAATAAGGACAATTCTCGGCGGTAGGATAATGTGTAGAGCCCGAGACTTTCACATTGTTTTTCATACGGAAGCTTTCGTAGACTCGGTGTCATTCTAGTTGCGATATGCTGTATTTTCTCCAGCGTTTCAGATTCCCACTGGGTTATCGGATGGTAAGCTGGGACACCGTATTCAAGGATTGGTCTAATAAGCGAGGTGAATAGGCGAGGGACGGTTTCTTCGGACCATGTGGAGAAACTGCGTCTTAATGCCCAGAGCATACGAAGTCCCGCACGGTACAATTTCTCTGTATTTTCTAGTGATCTCATATCATATCGCGAGAGCACTCCTAAGCCTTTGAGAGATGTGTTAGAGTGGAACAACTGGCCGTCCAAGGTGTATGCTCGAGTGGCTGGACGTCTGGTGATACTGATGAACCCCGACTTGCTTGCGTTAAGAAGGGGTGGCATTTCAATGGACCACGTTGGCAGTCGTTCTAAGTCATGCTGGAGGCGAGCGCAGTCGTCCTGGTTCTCAATGATCCTCCAGATTTTCAAATCATCTGCAAACAGGACACATGGTGACTGGAGCTGCTGCGGAAGATCGTTGATATGAATAAGAAATAATGCTGGCCCAAGTACAGTTCCTTGAGGCACGCCACTGGTCGATGGGAACCATTCTGTCAGATAGTCATTGACCTGTACTCTGAACATTCGTGCCACAATAAACTCGTGTAACCACTGAAGTAACGTGTCACCGATTCCGTATGTCCCCAGTTTACGAAGAAGTACCTCGTGGTTCACTCTGTCAAAGACCTTACTAAAGTTGGTGTACACCATGTCAACATCCTTCGGTTCGTTGAGAGCTCGTATCCACTGGTGGTTTGCGTACATCAAGTTAATGATGCAGGATCGCCCTTTCGTAAAGCCGTGTTGCGCTGGCGTCAATACGTCCATCGATTCGAAGAACGATAGCAGACACTTTTTCACAACCTTCTCGAGAACTTTGGATAATATCGAAGTCAAACAGATCGGTCTATAGTTCTCTATTTTACTCGGATCACCACCGTTGGGAAGTGGTCTCATTATCGAGCATTCCCAGTCGTTCGGGACAGATCATTCAGAGAGCGATTTATTGAAAAGGTTTGTCACGGCTGGTGAGATGATAATCGATAGGGACTTGAGTATTAGTAGGTAAAGTCCGTCTGGTCCGGGGGGTTTTGCACCATCGAGATTGACGAGTAGCTGATACACTTCGACTGCATCACACTGTAGGCTGTCGAGCAAGACTTGCGCAAGCTGTGCCGGTACGGAAACCGCCGCCGGTTTACTGGAAAATGCGGTGAAGAAGTGCGTAGCCAAGGCGTCTACGCGCTCCGCGCGTGAAATGAGCGTCTTTCTGTCCAAGCTCTCTAAAACCGGTCGGTCGGTCGGTCGGTCGCCCCCGGATTTCAGTTGACGTTTCAATTGGGCAAATATTCTTTTGGATGCAGTTGTGACCGAGGAGGCTAGCTCGTCTTCGAACTGCCGACGTTTCTTGCTCTTTGCGGCGTTACATAAGTTGCGCTGTTTCTTGTACACCGTGTAATCTTCATCACAACCCGAGCTGATGTACCTACTCCAAAGTTTGCGATGCCGTCGCGCTAACTGTCTGTATTCCGTATCGAACCAACGTGGTTTGACAGGTCCGATTTTTGAATACTTATGGGGAACGAACCGAGTACACAACGAGTTAAGCCTCCCCTTCATTAATGACCAACATGCCTCAAATGACGCATCCTGTGATAGTGTCCAATCAGTCTGACTTGCAGCTTGGACGAGCCTGTTGAAGTCCGTCTTCCAATAGTTGAATGTCGGCTTCCGTTGATTGCAGTATGGTAACGACAGTTCTATGCTTGCCACAATGGAGCAGTGGTCACTGTTCGCCAGAGGTTCGATGACGCTGATCTCGTTCAGCTTCTGCTCGCAGCTCGTGAACATTAGGTCCAGACAAGATGCCGAGTGCGGAGTTACGCGCGTCGGTTGGATGACATGTTGCGTTGCCCCGATTTCAATAGTCATTTTAGCGAACTGAGCCTCAACCTTGCAATGACCAGGAAGAAGCCGAACGTCTGGCCAAAATATCAGGTAAATTTAGGTCTCCCATCAGTAAGAACTGAGGGCGGCTCATGTGCTTCTGTACATGTGGTATCCAATCGCAACAACGGTTTAATAGGCTTCGGTAAATAATCCCCACTATTAGTTCTGCGCACCTGAGGCGGATTGTGCACCACAATTGCTTGCATAAATTGTCCTCGCTCCGATAGATGCTGGTAAGCTTTCCAGATATTGACGATTTTATGTACAACGGAACACCACCGTGAGTCTTTGATTTTCGGTCACATCGGAAACAAGAGTATCCTGACAACACGACTTCTTGGGGTATGACGTCGGAGTTCAGCCATGTCACTGCAAGTCCTAAAACGTCCGGCCGCTCCGAGACAGCGAAGTGGCACAGTTCGTCACGTTTGTTCATTAGGCTGCACACATTGGCGAATGCCACACGGAGGTCCTGAGAGGTACCGCGGGACGTGCCTGGAGGTTGGGTAACCGTTTGATACGGGTTCCTACACCCTTCTTGATCACCCGAAAATTTACAAATTGTAAGTCTGTCTCACTTTCCTCAGTACGGCGTTTGAGCTCAATGACCGCAGTCTTCAAACGATCCCTGTCTTCGGGTTCCGAGTCTCGGCGGATGTGAACTTTTATGCCTTTCACTCTTTACAGACGAGACAGTATGAGCTGCGGTATATTGTGATTTGCAAAGGTGATTCTCAAAGGTCAGTATGACTGATTAGTTTTCTGGCTAAGTCGGATTACTTGTTTAATCGTCACACTGTCTTCACCCACATCCAAGAGTCTATCGATGAGCCCCTGGAGGAACTCATAAGGTAACTGAAGGTTTTCATCTTTTGACTCTGGTACGTGGAAGACCATAAGATTATGACGCCTCAGCGAAATCAGTGATGAACCTGTGGGAGCAGGACCAGAGGCGCTTATCTGTTTGGGTTGTTGTTTATCAGCAGGTGACGTCTGAACTCGATTACGTGGGCCCTTGCGTTTTTGAGTGGTCCATGGGTTCTCGGTGTTCAGAAGTTCACAGACAGGCTCTGAGAAATTCACGGACCGATCAGTGAAGCGGCATTTCGTAGCTTCCAAGTCTGAGTCTTCCATCGGTGGGGAACATTGAATCTGAGGCTCAGCGGGGGCGAAGAGGCTGGTGGTGATGCAGCTCGCGGAGTGACAACAGAAGGCGAGGAGACAGAGGTACTTTCACGAGGGCGTTTGATCCCACGTGGTGAACGGTTTGTTTCTATCTGAAAGAGATTTTCCCGTAGTTGTTTGCGGTCGCTGTGTATTCTGTTGTCTTGTATCGCGACATTTATCACATATAACTTTAAAAAAACCGATGTCGGATGTCGAGCGATTTTCGGAACACGTCAACTGATAAGTCATTGCACGAAATATGGAACAAAACATCACAGCCGAAGTGCATGAGCCTTATTTTCCGCAGCTTTCGAACACGAACCACAAGTAGATTGCGACGGCATCACAAGCTAGTGCAAATCCAGGATGGCGGACAGAGATGGCAGTAGAACAAATCAATGAGATCTTCGGAATTAGCGAAAGAATAGCCGCCAAGTTGGCAGCGCTTGGAAAATGCGCCAAAAGAAGAATATTGGTGCACAATTCACACAGAAAAAACACGGATAACACAGTAATCCGAAGAAAAAGTGGTATCCAGCTCATCTGCTGAACAGCAGTTAAACTTATTGGG